GAGAACGAAGAAGAGAAGAAGATTCAACACCAAACTCATCAAACAAGGTATCATTTCTTGTCATTTTTCGTCTATTTTCACGATTTGAAGGATGAATTGAGATATAGATGGGGTGTTTGTAGCAAAAACATGATGTTAGGGTTAACAATTTTTTTCTATTTTTCATTTGTTTTGATATTTAACTTGTGAATTTGTAATGATTGAGATATGTTGATGAATTGTTGATATATTTGTGTGATAAATTGATGGGTTATTTTGAAATTTATTTGAGTTTTGTAGTTTGTTTGGAAAACTATGAATTGAAGGTGTTCGATAAAATGCCTCAAATGGATTGTTGTGCATAATTGCTTGTAGTTGGATGATTTGAACATTTGGTTTCGATTATGTTATCCCTGTTTTGTGATGGTTCGTCTATTTTTTTTATTTTGTTCTAAATTAACCTTTCTTATATGTAATGATTTTTTTTTTTGTTTGTAGAAAATGGCATCCTCCTCACAGCCGCAGCGCTACACCGTCCATCCCGGTCCGATGGATCGGTCCCTTCTTTACCTTCAGGACAACCACCGGTCGCAAGCTGTATACGACGATCTGGAGGGATATCGTCACGGCGCGATTAAAACCCGCCGTTTCGACACTCAGTTTTGGAAGGCGTTGGAGGTACAGCATTACAGAGTATGGGAGGTGATCGACAGGACCGGTTTCGGGCCGCTTTTCAGAATGGGCCGAATATCGACGGAGAACAGCTTGATTACATGTCTAGTGGAGAGGTGGCGTCCGGAGACGAACACCTTTTACTTTGACTTCGGGGAGGCTACAATATCGCTGCAGGACGTGCAAGTCCTTTTTGGTCTCCCGGTCGATGGAACGCCGTGTTGGGGACAAAAAATTGACCACGAACCCCACACGTGGCAAGAACACTGTGCCGATTATCTAGGGTTCGAGCCCTCAGTCAAGGTAATTATTTTCCTATATTATTATTTTTTTTTCTTTTAGTTTATTCCATTAATTAATTTTCAATACATATATATATAACACTCTCAGACTGATGACGACCCGGAGAGCACCCCGGAACTTACAGGCCAGTTTTTGAAGACCTCGGCAATTGAAAAGGAGTGCTATAGACAGCTAACAAATGAAGAGCTTCCCTCTCGCTACGAAGAGAGGGCGAGGGCACTTATACTCTGGTGTATCGGGTCATTTTTCTTCCCCGATCATAGGGCGAATGGGGT